AAATAGACAGACCCATTTAATTTTTGACCCATAATGCTTTGGTTTTTTATGCACATGGAAATAAAATAGGGAATCACGAAAGTTTTGTTTGGTTGGTTGCATGGAAGTATAAATAATTTTGTATATTATGTGTATCATTAATTGGTTAATTGGTTTCATTGGTTAGCAGTGTTGAAACCAAACCAAACCACCTAAACCAAATAAGCTAAATTGTTTAACCAAACCAAACCAATTATCCAAATTAACCGAATGTTACCGGTTAATATGGTTACCACGGTAACCAATCCGTTTGAACACCCTTACTTGAGGGAACTATCACTGGTGGTGAAGATGAAACAATGACAGTCGTATATGAAGGCATAACAAAAAATTCTGCAGCAAGGGAAATCCACCAGTTTGATGACTTTGATGATGAGGCGATGACTTCCTATGATGAATACCTTGAAGCAAGGACCAATATAAGATTATATGGTATGATCAAGAAGAGAAAGGTGAAGAAAAGGATTCATGATGGTGGGGAAGAGGTGGAACAACTTAATGAGAGTTAAGGGACTTACTCTCATTTCGAAGAAGAGGAAGATGATTTTGAAGATGAGGTTGCCTGTCCCGACCAAAATACAAACCATGTAAATGGGGGGCAGGCTTCACTCTATTCTCTTGGGCACAGCCAACATCCGATACAAACACAACAAGAAGAAGGATATGACTCCAGCTACAAAGCATCTGAAGATTTCAACCATGCTCGGGCAATTTGTCCGATGACGAGGCTCCTGAACTATATGGTGATGCGCCTCACTATGATCCTGGTTGCGATCATAAGACTTTACAGTTTGTATGACATATGAAGTTTGAGAGTCCAGAATAATTCAAGGCGGGATTTATTAGGCATGCAGTTGCCTATGGAGTAGATTTAAGATGGACAAGGAGTACTCCTATTAGAAGAGAGGTGAAATGAAGGCTGCCAATTGTAAGTGGAAGTTATATGGTAGTTGGTTTAGAAAGGATAAGTTTTTCATGATTAGAAGGTGGGCCTCCCTCATAATAGTGCAAGGTCCCTTCTAGTTAACCAAGTCACTGCAAAGTGGATAGCATCAGAATTACTTTCACAGTTCAAGATCAATCCAAAATGGGCCCCAGATCAGATTATGGCGGAGGTGAAGCTAAAGTATAATTTAGATGTCAGTAGGAGAACTTGCTACTGGGCTAACGTTGAAGCTATTAAGTTGTTGAGTGGATCATTGGTCGATGGGTACCACAAGCTGAGAAGTTAGTGACTGATTTGATGAAACAAGATCGTCATGGATGTTCCATTATAGAAGTTGACCCAGATCCTGCTAATCAGAAATTTTTCTTCCAATGGTTTTATATCGATTTCTCGTGCTTTAAGAAGAGATTCTTAGAGGGTTGTAGACCAATGTTTGGGCTGGATGGGTGCTTTTTGAAGGTTCATGTGAAGGGGGTGCTTCTTACTGTTGTTGGAAAAGATGGCAATAACCAGATGTTCCCGATTGCTTGAGAAATAGTAGAAGGAAAGAGTATCAATTCATGAACATGGTTTATCCAGACACTGTCCGAAGAATTAGGCCTAGTTGAAGGATGAGGGTGGACTGTCATTTCAGATCAACAAAAGGTACTTGTTTTTAACTATTGTAAATATATATTATATGAAGAAGCATACAAACTGAATACGGTATGAAAAAATCAATAGATTAACTCCACGCCAACCATGTTACCATGGGTTTTTATGTTTTATCTTTGTTATACTGATCATGAATCTAGTAAACTTTGCTTTTCATGATTCATTATCGTAGGGTTTGGTTGAAGCCATAAATGCATGTTTGCGTGATGCTAAACAACAAAAATGTGCTCGCCATGTGTATGCCAATTGGAAAGTAAAGAACAAGACTGATCGGGTGGGAAAATTATTATGGAAGGTAGTGTAAGCATGCAATGAGGTAGAGTGGAGGAAGGCCACTTCTGATATGGAAACAATTAAAGGTAGAGAACTCAGTTCTACCCCTTAAAAGGACTTCAAGGAAGCTAATTCTAATCAATTTTTTTCGTATTATCTTATCTCCTATCCCTAAGCATAATTCGGTTGAGAGTAATATATGTGAAACATGGAATGGTAGCATTGTCAAATATAAAGGCTTTAGAATTATTGATATGCTTGAGGATATTAGGGGATACATAATGACGAGGGTTGTTACCAAATAAAAGTTGTTGAGTGAGATAACATATTAGCTTAGTCCAAGAGTCAGGAAACGTGTGGAGAAGGCAAATGAACTTTGAAGGCTTTTTGTTGTTCAACAAACCCTTGACAACAAATGTGAAGTGAAGATGCAAGGTGAAGGATATATAGTTGACTTAAATGCCCACACCTGTACTTGTGGGTATTGGGTGTTGAGTGGGTTGCCATGTTGTATCAGTAATATCACATTTGAGGAAAGAAGTGGATGACTTTGTCCATCGTTCTTACCATGCTGATTTTGCTTTGAAAGCATACAAAAATGGGATTCCATGCCTAGACAGAAGACAAGTTTGGCATGCAGGTCCAGGATATCCCTTTAAACCTCCCAAAAGCATAGCAATGCGGTTAGCCTGGAAAAAAAGAAGAAGAAAGAGTGTTGGTGAGATGGAGACTCGCCCACAACGAAATGAGGTTGGTGAGGAAGTTAAAAGACGAGGAATGCTGATTCATTGCACCAAGTGTAGAGCAGAAGATCATAACCAGTGTCGTCAGAACCAAACCAGACATCGATCCGGATTAATGAGAGGTTCAAGATTTTTCGAATAACCGCTAATTAACCGGTATTAGAAACCGGTCATAAACCGGTGCTTGGTTCAAAAAAAGAATACAAAAGTATGTAGTAAGAATGAAAAAAAGTCAAAAGGCCAAAAGTAGTGGGTTGTAGGGAGTAGGGGTAGTTAAATAATAATTAAATTTAATCTTCCCATTCGTTACCTTGTTTCTTTTCATTGTTAATAATTAATTAAGGTTAGCATAAAGATAGGTGCCACTTAAATCTTCCCAGTCGCCTGTTTCTTTTGCTTCCGCGACCGGACTTATGGCTGGGTCCATTTTTTACCGGTCTGACCGGTCGGTCCGGCCCGGTTTTCATAACACTGATCATAACTTTAGAACTTGAAAAGAACCACCAGTTGTCCAAGGAGTGGTAAGAATGTGATATTGGTTAACGTGTATATGTCGAATGAAGCCTAATTCTTTTTTTATGGTCATTTGCAAAGAAAACACAACACAAGTGACACAAGAAGAAGTTACGAATGGGAGTCGACAATCACATGAACCTCCTACATGGCAAAGGGTCGATTAATAATGTTTCCTCCATGAATGTGATGATTTCTTAATGTTGTGCGTGTTTGTTTATGGAATGTGAATAATAATTCATGAAATGGAATGTTCCAATCCATCTTTTCTTTCTTCCTTTGTTTGAATTATATAGAGTAGTGTAGGGGTAACTAATTAAATAGCAGATTACATCTTAACTTGTTGTAATTACTTGGTGCCATTGCATCCATCTTCAGGATGTTTCACAACATTCACGGCTAGAAAACGACAAGCAAGTCGGAAAACAGACAAGAAAACGGACTAGCCAACAACAAGAAGGGAAGAATAGAGAGCGCAAATAGACAATATGTTGAACAAAATGTGGACAGTCTACACACAATGCAAGGACATGTCCTATGAATAGAGGTGTAAGGGTACAATACAAATAAGTGAATGAATACAAATTCATTTTCCACAGTTTGTAATAACAAGAAGTTGAATTTAGAGTGAAGTTAGTGGAGTTTCGTTCTCATGAGTTTTTTTATTTTTTTTTGTAAACAGCTTAATGTAGCAAATAGGGAACTTTTTGGAGTTGGTCAATCAAGGATGGTTCATGGAATAGAGCAAAGTGTGATGGAGTGCCCTGGAAGTCAACCCTCACTCACGCAGTCTTAGATGGGGCATATGTTAGTTAGTGCATCAAGTTTTTCCCAATCGTTCTCACTTTGCTTATCAACATGTTCTTTTGTTTAGGCTGTATTCTGTCTTTTTTCCAGATATTGACACAATGAGTTTAAAATCTCACAAGAAAAGGAAAAGGATATCCTCACTTGATATAACCATTACTTGATGAGCTTTCATCCGAATGCTTAGCCCTCCAGCTAACGATAGAAAAAAGCTCATTGTTTGAAATGACATGGTTAATAGAAGAAGATGATTATTAGGTTCTGTTCATAACCATTTACCTTTTTGCAAGCTATCTGTGTCTAGTAAATCGCCTAATATATTATCGGATCTGCTAGTTGCCTCTCTCTACTAATGATGATGTGGCGGTGGGCTGTTTTTGTTCGACCACGTGGTGGCGGAGTGGTCGACGATCTCACGAAAGAAGAAGAAGAAGAAACGTGGCCACGGGGTTGGAAAAGATAGGCGAAAGTTTTTTCAAATTATTTAAATGTGATGTGGCAAAAATGGTATGACATGGCAATTTGGAGCTTACATGGTAGATGAAGTGGCGTCCACATAAGCTTGTGGTTAACGGTGTTAATAATGCATTTGACGCCGTTAAAAGTTCTAACAAAAATGGCTAAAATTGTCCAAGGTTATATTTTCATTACGGAAAAAATGGCTATGATTGTTACAAAGGTAAAAGGTTTGACTATACAATTGTATTTAAGTACACAAGTTAATGTCCTATTTTGTTGGTGTGGTACTCAAAAAAACACGGCATTAGAATATTGCGAGAAATGGCTCATTGTTGTCCTTTATCATCATTTCCCTTCATAGATGCCCAATCAAACTTGCAACCGGTAAATGGATCTGATATCACAATCCCATAGATCCATCATAAATTTATATTCCAATGAACATCGTGCAGATGAACCCATAGTCGTAAACCCACAGGCTTCTTTGTCATAACTTGGGTTCTTAGCATTTGTAAGCTACCAGTACTGTAAACACTCAGGTATCGCAATGTCGATTGATTGGTGAAGGAAGGTGGTGGTGGAATCATAGCAACGACCATGTCGGTTTTAATATCTTTCGGTATGAATATGAGTCCTCCTTACTAATGCCACTACTACTGCACATGCTAACGCTATATTCATCGCCTTTCATTCTTTGAATTTTTTCCTCTTGTTCTATATAAACCGGTTTCTTCTCTACGTTTTTTTATATGTGGTGTTTTGATCGATCTTATGGTGATGTAAATATAAAATGCATAAGAGTCTAAGTTGAGGGATCATATGTCTCCTACCTCTTTATATTGCTTGTGGATACGTTTGATTAATTGCTCATATTTATGATACTTCGTGTTTAGATTCACTAATGGTAGCATGTGTATATAGATATGTATGATGATGGCAACCGCAACACACGGTACACGACAAACGCACCAGAGTGGATGATTGAGGCTTCTAGTCTTGTTGGTGGCCAATGAGGAATTTTATTTAGAATGGTAGGTTGTGAGAATTGAACCCGGGGGTAAAGTGTCAACCTTCACGCCTTAATACTTGAGCCACACCTTGGTGGTTAATATTTGGTTCTACGCATTCAAACACTTAACGATACCTCTCGATCAAAGACTTTGATGCTATATCGGAAATCAATTATCAATAACTCAAGTTGTTGGAAGATGTCTAACAATGAGAAGTCTATGTCATCTGAAGAAGCGTCAAACATGCTATGATACCAGAGTGGATGATTAAGGCTTTCAGTCTTGTTGGTGGCCACTGAGGAATTTCCTTTACAATGGTAGGTTGTGGGAATTGAACCCGAGAGTAATACTTGAGCCACCCCTTGGTGGTAGATATTTGGTTCTACGCATTCAAATACGGGACGATACCTCTCGATCAAAGACTCTGATGCTATATCGGAAATCAATTATCAATAACTCAAGTTGTTGGAAGATGTCCAATAATGAGTAGTCTATGTCATATGAAGGAGTGTCACCCATGCTCTGATACCACTATAAGAATAAAATAAAAAAGAAACCTCGGATCTAAGCGTCTTCCGTCTAGAGTTCTGAGATGGGATCGATAGGAAATTTGGGATTAGGGATTTATTAAGGAAAGAGATGAGGGAAAGAGAGGGGAGTTCGAGAACAAAAGGAACGAAGGGGAATGAAATCGGCCGGCCACATGTGGCCGACAGAGAGCTTGAGGGAGAGAGGAGAAGGTTCGGTCGAAATAGAAAGATAGGAAAAGAGATTTGGTTTGAGAAATTATGTTATGTGTTTGATTAATGAAAAAAATACCCACTAATCTATCTCTACATAATATAACATTAAAATAAAAAAGTGTGTCTTTCATTTAAAATTTTCCGCAACGAGAGTGAAAGTAGGAAGAGTATTTTGTCTTCACAACCATCTATTTCTTTCTTATTTATTCGTGAAAAAAAAAGAGAACAATAATAGGATTTTATCTAGGTTCATTTTAAATAAATACAAGGGTCATAACAAAATACTCTTTCTTATTTTGTCTTCACAATCATCTATTTCTTTCTTATTTATTCGTGGAAAAAAGAGAACAATAATAGGATTTTAACTAGGATCATTTTAAATAAATACAAGGGTCATAACAAATCACAAAACATAGATTTGTTTTATCTCTTTAAATAAAAAAATACATGAATCTAAAAATGGAAAATTTCAAGATTTTCCAAAGATTAGCTAGCCTAGTAAATCTTCACTAATTATACTTCGATTTTCATATTTAGATTAGTTTAATAGTAGTTTAATAATTAATTTAAATTTTATCTATCTTATAAATAGTGTGACCTCCACCTCCATTTCAAATTTCCTGCCTTCATAACAATTCTCGGAAGGGTATTTAAGGAAGCTGTTTTCTGGCGATTTGTAGAATGCGAAAGTAAAGTCCTCAATAAGAGTTAACAGGTCTAAATTACTGTCACGACCCACTACCAGCACACCCATCACCGCCTCTCCAACGCTCTGCATCAGAATCTCCTGACCTTCAATCTCCGCAGCAACAAACCTGCTCCCCTCCATTTTATGAAAGTGTGCCACGAAACATTAAAAGCTACGTTGTTTTTTTTACAATCGCAGTCTCACCATGTACTCTTGCGTCGCAGTCATGAAACAACCGCACCGGTGGTCGCGATACTTCCCTATCTCCGATTTCTGAAATTTAAGGGGTTAGAGGAATATTGTTCGTCCACAAAGAGGATAATCTTGAATGTATAAGTTAATCATCAATGTCTGCTAGGTTTTCCTTACACTACAAGTGTTGATTTATGATATGTCGACTTGTTCATCATTAGTTTCAACTATTAAATGTTCATACGGAGATGAGAAACCGCATCCCATTAACAAATTGGTGGTTAGAGGGGTTGCGATTGGGAAACACTACCTTTGGAATGCCTTGGGACTAGATCGAGAATCATTATCCCCTTAGAATCTCAACAAGTCTGACAACTACAGTAGCTTCATTGATTGTTAAAATTGGGTAAGGCTACTGGGTTTTCTATTCTTAAGAATTTGATTATGTATATGTTCATCCCTAATCTCTTATACTCTTATAAATTCAGTTAAACCTCTATTTGATCATATTTTAATAAACAACTTATTCAGATACGTACTTACTACGCCAATGGTTGTCAAAATGTTGTGTGTTAACTTTTGGTGGATGTGTTAGGGTGTTAAGTATACTTGGTTGTTCGAAAGCCACTAGGTTGGGTTTACCCTTGCGCCCTAGAATCTAGATTGCATGCCTATTGTTAAAAAATTAATTATGTAAAAATTTGGAGGTTAAAATGACGCAATCCACTTCCTATGCCATCTTATTACACCAATCCTTTTGGTTTTAGTACATACTAGAGAACAACCTATATGAGGTTAACTCATTTGTGCAGGTTACTAGATACTATTCAAACTTGATTTGATGAAACTTTTTGGTCCAACTCTTTCTCGAAGTGATTTGATCATTATTTACTACAAATGTACTTGATTGATGATGTTGTCTTCTAGTTCCACATTTTGCAGATCATGCATTTTCAACCCAGATAATTCCTTAATGTGAGGGAATGCTCGCCTTTTGGCTAGAGAGGTGATCGGGTAAAATGCATTGGTTTTCTGTTACAATTCTTTGGTGTTATGTATACTTGGTTGTTCAAAGGCAACTAGGTACTTATTAAGTTTGAACCATTAATAACATTGATTCTAGATTCATTTGACGAACATGGGTTTCTTAAATCCAAGACTTGTTATGTCAGTATACTTGCTTATAGTTCAGCTGTTACGAGAATTGGGCCATCGTAGCAATTGGGCAAATTATATGGGCCTAGTTATCTTTATTGCTAGTCTTTATTTATTATTGTCTTTATTAGTAGTTTCCTTTTTTAAGTACGATTTGGTTATTGTTAGTAGCTTCCTTATAGGAGTATGAGTCATGTTCTAGATAGGAAAAGGTAGAGGCTTTTATGCCTATAAATATATATCTGTCTTTCGTTTAATGTCATGAGAATATTGGAACTCAATTGTGTTTATTAATTTGTGTTTCTTAGGATTAGTTGTAAGGTAATTTGGGGTTGATCTCGCCATCAAATAGGTCCTCTACTCGAGAGCGTTCGAGCAACGTATCAAAAAGGTTCGCGTGTGTGGGTTTTCTGAGAAATCCACGTAACATTAGCTTTTTTGCTTTTCTCGCTTATTCATTTCAATTGCGATAGAAAGAAATAAGATCATATCGAAACATAAGCAAGTGGGGATGAGTTTTCCTCCTTGACGCATGTGGAAAAAAGGGCTCAACGATGCTCTAGATGTCATGTTAATACACATGTAAGAAAGAACAAAGATTTATCGAAAGAAGACATGGTCATGCTATCTTTGCAGTATTACTTTTGTGATATGTAAGAGTTGTTGGTGGAATAAATGTCATATTTTTAGTATTGGACCTAACTTCCACAAGCTTGCTAGGAGTGAACAAGATAAATAAATTGCTCACCTTAGACCTATGTAGTTAATTCATGAATAAATAAATATATTTATTATATTACAACCTCTATTTTATATAACCTTTATGCCCCAACTTATCAATGAATTGTATTTATGTTCAATGTTTTACTTTGAAATGTATACTCTCAGGAACAGACCTATCCTTTTGCACCTCAAATCAAAATACTCAACTTGCCATTGTACGTTTTAGAGAGATTGAGAATTGTGGGGCGGGACAATAAATACATAATATAAAATAAATAAAAAAGTTACTGACCAACGAGTCGGAGCATAAGCTACTTAAATAATATATAACCGAAATAATTCCCACTAACTACTCAAACTATTAACTCCTAAGAGAAATAACCAAATAAACCCAAATATGCCAAAAAAAACATGAAATAATATTCAAAATCATCCAAACACACAAAAAGGACAAACAAATCCCATCACCGAAATTATAAAAAAAAAATATGTTTCTAATAGAATTAGAAACCGTTTGTCTCACATTTTCTCTTATCGCATCGGCACCGAAATTATATAAAAAAAATGTTTCTAATAGAATTAGAAACCGTTTGTCTCACATTTTCTCTTAACCGAAATAATTCCCACTAACTACTCAAACTATTAACTCCTAAGAGAAATAACCAAATAAACCCAAATATGCCCAAAAAAAACATGAAATAATATTCAAAATCATCCAAACACACAAAAAGGACAAACAAATCCCATCACTGAAATTATAAAAAAAAAAATATGTTTCTAATAGAATTAGAAACCGTTTGTCTCACATTTTCTCTTATCGCATCGGCACCGAAATTATATAAAAAAAAATATTTCTAATAGAATTAGAAACCGTTTGTCTCACATTTTCTCTTATCGCATCGGTGGAAAGGTACAGCCATCAATTTCACCTTCCTTACTAGTCAGTAGTCACAGCCAAAAACGGTTTCCTAGTATAAAAGACGTCAACAGCAGGATTCGAACCTGCGCAGGCAAAGCCCAACAGATTTCGAGTCTGTCTCCTTAACCACTCGGACATATTGACATGTTTGTTCTGTTATACAAAGCATTGTATTTATTATTTCTTTGTTGCTTATAGTACACGTCAAAATGCTGGCGAGAGACTTCCATCACGACCTACAAACCTTGCCATGCTTTCTGGTCCAGAAACAAACACCATGGTTTCCAAATTCCACCTACTAGAGACAAAGCAAATCTCAAACTGTGTGATCATTTAGCAACATTACAATTTCAAACAAACAACATTGCCTTAAATCTAAAACGAGCCCTCCTCCTCATGTGCTTATATTATGCAGACTTTCGATGATATGCCTAACAAAACCAAACTTCCTATATCTCAATTGACCGCATCCACTTCGATATGGTTGATCTTATCATTCATCATCGACACATTTGAGACCACTGAGTCCTTGTAACAAACTGGAGCGGATTGCCTTCATGTTTTTCTCCCCTTTTGGATGACAGAAACTGGATTTCTGGCTGCTGCAAGCTTTTGGTGCAGCAGTGCCTTTATATGCTTCGCAGATGTAACTTATGAAGTTCTCGTACTCCTGCAGCACATTCCATTAGTTAA